GACAATTCAGGGGCCGATTTTGTCTGAGCTCAGGTGCCTCCATCCAGGCCTCCACCATGACAAGAGGAGCTCAGCTTGGCTGAAGCCTTTTGTTAGACAGCACCTGCCTGGGCCCAGTGCCCATGGGCATTGGTCTCTGCCCAGGTCCGAGGAAGGGAGGTGGAGACCTTGGGACTTGGGCTTTCCATTGTGCTAGTTGTGATACTGTTGTGGGCGAGTCAGATGCCCACCCCAGCTCCCACAACCACACTGGAACCAGGAGAGTACCTCCCCAGAAGTTGAGGATTTGAGAGTGTTGTTTGCAATGATCACCACCATCCCTGGGACTCTCAGTAGCACTCCCATGCCATGAGTCCCCTCCATGGGCTCATTTTTCACTCCCCTCTTCTCCCCCTTCCTGAACCCCTTATGACATCTGAGTAGTGATGGCTAGTCCCCTTGCATTGCCAATCTTTTCTGAAAGTGTTCTGTTCACCTTCTGCCTCAACAGGAGGGGGCACCCTCTGAGGGAAACACTTCCCTATGTCCTCTCACGGGAGACTATTTTCCTTCACATTCATGCACCCCAGTGCCAGGTGGGGTAGGTGGCTTTCTTCTCCCTGTTCCTGCTCCTGAACACGTCTTCACTGCTTTTCCTTTGGAGCCATAGCTATTAGACTTCTACCTTCTAACCCCCATCATTGTCACCCCTCTGTTGCTGTGTTCCCCTGACTCCCTCACAACACCCCCTCATGCAGATCTGGGCTCCTGGTTCACCTTTTTCCTCCCCATAACCACTCCAGTCTGAACACCTGTGCAGAGGATCTGGCCCACAGGGACCCTCCTTTCTCAGTCCCTCAATCTTCCACGTTTAACAGTCCAACCTTGGCATCCACTCCCACAATCACACCTGGGAGCTCATCACTACCAGGAACTGATGCCTTTGAAGTCTCAGTCTTAAGCATCCCACACTCAGACCACACTCTTGACTTTCTGATTCACAAGCTCTGTTATTCCACACTCTGCAACATGTCTTATCTCACTGACCCCTAAAAATCATCAACTCCACCACCTATTTCCACTATCAATCATCCACCTTTGTTTTTTACTTCCCTCCTGTCATGGGCTGAACTGTGTCCTCTCGAAGTCCCCAAGTTAAAGTCCTAACCCCCCCCCCCACAATTTCTCAGAATAGGACTGTATTGGGAGATGGGGTCTTTATTGAGGTAGTAAAAGTAAAATGAGGTCCTAATCCAATATATCTGGTGTCCTCATAAGAAGATATTAGGACTCAGACACATACAGAGGGAAGATCATGGGAAGACACAGGGAGAAGATGGCCATTGACAAGCCAAGGAGAGAGGACTCAGAAGAAACCAACCATGTCCACACCTTGATCTCAGACTTCTAGCCTTCAGAACTGTAAGAAAATACATTTCTGCTGTTTAAGCTACTCAGGCTGTGGTACTTTGCAAAGGTGGCCCAAGCAGACTACTACACCTCTTTACTCATTTCAGATTCCAATACTGTAACTATTCCCTTGCCCTATCTTCCACCTCTCTCCCTTGGTTATATTCTCCTACCTTAGCTGAATCTGATGACCCACTTCTCTTTGCCTGAACCTGAGGAGCTGAACATTGTAAGGAAAAAAAATTGCGAAACAATACTAATTAGTTTCTCTTAAAATGTATGGCCCTCAAGCCCTCAAATATGAGCTCAACACAGTCCATAAATCTCATCAAGTTTTCCAAGAGGCTATTTCTTGCATTCTCTTTTGCCTTCAGAACCCACCCTGCCTCTCTCAGCTCATGGCCATAGCTCTGCTGATCTGAGACTAGAAGCCACCAGTCAGGTACCTCCTCATATTCCTACCACCACAGCTACAGACCCATGGACCACGGGCCCAGCTTTTGGTTTTCCCGGTACCAACCAAAGCCTCTTATTCTCTGGGTTCCATCTCATTTTGCCTTTGCAAGAATCCCATGCGTCTGTTCATCTCTTCTGTCCTCATTAATGATTTCTCTTACCAAAGTACTTCCATACATGTGTGTACATACAATGATGCATTTGCCTCTCCTACTAAAGACATTTTCCTTGACCCCCATCAACCCCCAGGAACAGCCCCATTTTTCTGCCTTTTTAATACCAAAATGTCTTAAAAGAGTCATCCACACTTAACTGATTTTACTCATTGACAGTGTCATCAACAATTTCTTCCTGCTGTTGGATCGCATTCATCAGCATGCAACCATTTGTTCTTCCTACTCCCCAGCCTGACTTTGGTGAAGGTCACCGATGACTTAGGGTTGCCAAACTCTGACTCCCCTCTTGTCCAGCTCTGCTTGGAGCCATCAACAGCATTCCAAGTAGTTGGCCACTTCCTCCTTCCATTTGAATCTTTGTGACTCATCTCCTGGTTTTGCTCTTGACTTCATGGGCTGCTCTTTCTCAATCCTCTTTGTATCTTTCCCTACCTGACCTCCGAGGACCCATTCTGCTGTTTCTAGATGATCTCACCCAGGTCCATGACTTTAAATATCACTTATGTGCTGATGGCTTTCAAATTTATGTCTCTGTACTGACCTCTGTCTTGAGCTCCAGACACATAGATCTAATTTGACATCTTCACTTAGATGACTCAAGGCATCTCAAACCTGACACACTTAGAAAGGACTTCATTCTGCAGCCACTTCCCCAAACTGGTTCCCATCTCAGTGAATGGTACCACCATCTACTCAGTTGCTTGAATCAAAAACCTCGGAACCATTCTCTTTTCTTTTCCTCCTTGTTACTTCTACTTTGCAATATATCTGGACCTCACCCATGTCTTTCCATCTTTACTCTCAACCTTAGTCCAAGCTGCCACGATCTTTCACATCTATACTGAAATCATTTCCTAAATGGCTTCCCTTCTGTGGGTAGGGGATGCTCCAGGAAGGGGGTCTCTGTGAAGGACTGGTTTCCTGCTGTGCAGATGACACAGTCAGTGCTAACCAGATTAATTGGATTTCCGAAGGGAAATCGTGTGGGCCCCTCTTTTCTGTCACACTTCCCTCAGAAACAGCACTTCCATTCAGAAAGCCAGATCAAGTGCCATTAACAAATTAATTCCGATTAGCACAGCCCAAGCACTTAAACCTCAAGGCAATCCCGGTCAGTACTGCAGGGAGATAGCTTGGCCTGCTAATAAAGTGGAAACTATATTGGAAGCAAAGGCGATTGTTTGATGCCTGTCTCTGTCCCTGGAGGGGAGGAGAGTGGGATCTGATTACACTATGGTCTCCTGAGGGAATTAACTCACTTCCCAATGACAAGTTATTAATTCCCCCATTTGGTGGTCAGGTCTGTGAGAATGGGGTCAGCTCTCACACCCTCCTGTGTCCCATGCATCCCCTGATTTAGGACTGAGCATTCCTTGGGTACCCAATAATTGAATGAAAAAGAATTAACTGGTAGGTAGGCAATAGGTCTAGGGCCTAGTATCATTAGTAACCCTTCATTCTTTTATTTAACAAATATCATTGGGGCCCAACTGTGTTTGGCACAGCAGATTGAAAAGTTAATCCAAACAGATGAGGCCCCTGTTCCCCTAGAACTCATAGACTAGGGGAGGGAGGCAGATAATCAGCATGCATCAAACAGATGAGATGCTGGTTTCAGAGAGTTACAAATGCAAACAAGGTAAGAAAATAGGACAAGGTGACAGAGTGTGCTGAGTTGGGGATGCACTAGGAGGGTCTGAGCCAGTGACACCTAAGCTGAGCTCTGGATGGTGCAAGGAGCCAGTTAACCCTGGCAAAAGAACTTTCTAGGGAGAGGGATCAGAAAATGTAAGTGCCTACTGCCCGAGACCCAGGCCCTACCACCTTTTCATTCTCTCAACACGTCCAGCATGGCCATCTTTGCTGGCTGGTTGGTCTCCATGTGGAACCAGGCAGGGCAGACATGTCCCTGCTGGGCAGTCGGCTTTGCCCACAGCCAGCCTGCTATCCCTCCCTCCTGCTCTTCTCACTCATGTCTAAGCGCTTTGCAAAATTCACACCTCTTCCAATGAAATCTTTCAAAAGCTTCCCAAGTGGAAGGGCTCCCTCTCCTTGCTGAAGTCCCGGAGCACTTATTTGGTACCTGCTGTCTCTATTGCTTTACATGGGTAGATACTGCCTTACTGTGTACCTGAATCTGCTCCCCCATGCCTTCCCTTACCCTGTCCAGTGGGCTGCTTGGGGGCAGTAGCTTCATCCTCTCTGCCTCTTAGACTTTCTAGGCCTAGCCCAGACTCTCAGCTGATAGACACTCAGGGAATCTGAATGGACATCTGGCCAAATGAGAGCCCAGGGGCAGATGGAGGTCCACAGAAGCCTCCCTTTTATTCCCCAGTCTCTAATAGAGGCAAAAAAGGAAAGCACTCCATCCAATTCCTGGGAATAAGGCTGGCTTTAGCTTTGAAAATTAGTTTCCGGAGGATGATTTAAAATTATTATGACTATTACCAGCTTTCTTGTGGGAATGCTTGGAAACTTTCATAAAAGCAGCAAGCCAGCCACAAGGATAGGTCAGCTTGAAGATGAAAAGTTCTAGGACTGAGAAATCACATGAAGGAGGCAGCCAACCATGCTCCCAGAGCTGTGCTCCATCCCAGACCTCCAGGTGACAGCTCTCCCAGTGACTCAGACCCCTAAAATGGGTACCATTGCTGCCCACCAGTAAAACACAATTGCTTAATTGTAGCCAGCCTTCCTCCAGCTCAACACTTCCGTCCCTCAATATTCCCAGACCTTCCAGGATTCCAGTGCTCATCAGCCTCACCCAGGAAGCTAGAATATTGTCAGATGAAAAACGAGGTGCCTGTAACTTCCAGGTGCCTCAGCTGACTTTCCATAGGGTCCTGAGTTGGAGGGAGGCCTGAGCTCCCCATGCTATGGCAAATGGGGATGAGGCATGGTGCGCAACCCTGGAGGAAGGAAAGCCAATGGGCATGAGGATGAGATGAGCGTGGAGACGCGCTGGGCACTGCTGCTAACCTTTCACGAGGACCGTCCTGGCCTCAGCCCACTCGCTCCTCCCTTCTGACGTCAGCAGGCCGATTGGAGGCAAGCGTTCATCCTCGTTGGAAGCCATTTTGACTATCTTTCTCAACTGAGTGAACAGATCCCCCTCACTGAGACGGCGGAAATTAATGACAACATCCAAGACAAAGAACTGTGGGGGAAACAGGTCAAACACGTCACTCATGGCAGCCGGCCCAAGGCGAAGGGCCTTCACTGAGCCTTCACACATGCGTATAGATAGGGGATACTCAGGCTCAAGGTATGTGATGGTTCCCTGAAAAGTCACATGTTGGGGACCTATCCAAATGCTGTTGACTGGGCTGGACTCTAAGCTTCCCCAAATCAAAGAGGGCCAGATTAACCTTAGCTAAAATAAAACCTGTTTCTATGGTTCCTACTTCAGGTAAAACTATTATGTTTGTGGGGAATTAAGTATAAATTGGTACAATTGCTATTGGAGGGCAGTGTCTATCAAAACTGAAAATGTGCATACCTTATGATTCAGCAGTCACTCTTATAAATGCATACTTTAGCCTTAGGCTTGGAGAAACATACACTCTTGTGCCCAGATATGTGAAGCAGTGGGCATATAAGCCTTATTTGCAATAGCAAAATGGTAGAGACAGCCTACGCGTTCTTCAGAAGGGGAACAGCTAAATTAAATGAGTTTATTTATCTAATGCATGTCTACTCATTGGTAAATAGGAATGAACTAGCTCTAGATACAGCTAGAGATAGATCTCAAACACACTGGTGAGTGGAGAAAAAAAAGCAAGTCAGCAAATGATAAGCAGAGGAAGATTCAAATGGAAAAATAACACACAAAATGCTCTATCCCTTTGTGTGCCCATATACAGGTGTACATGCATGTGCTTTGTATGTGAGACCTGTGAGCTATCATTAGTAGCTTTGAAGCCAGAGTCTTGGGCTTTGTGAAAGGTCTTATCTAGCCCCAAGTCAAGATCCCTTTTCTGCTGGTTGACATAAGTACCTGGTCCCATGTCCTGAGAAGCATACATGTGGCCTGGTTCTGAGCAGGAGCCCCAAGAGCATTTCTGAAATGGATGGATACTGCAGCACATAGGGGCTGGGAAATGAGTTTGACTTTTGAATGAAGACGGAGAAAGTTTCTTGTTTGTGGCTAAACTGTCATGTGGGCTTCCAGTGGGAACGCTAACCTAGGATGGCAGACTTTCACTGAGCTCCTATCCTAGAAAATGTCAGATGAACCCAAGAAGAAAACATTGTAGCACAAATAGCAGGGGAATCCTGGGGGGTAGGTTTTTAGCAAAACCAACCACACAAACAAAAAAAACAAAAAACCCCCACCAAAACTCAAAAACCAAAGCAAACCCAAACAAAACAAAACCAAACCAGAAAAAAACCAAATCCTAAACAAAACCGCTTTTTGTCAGATGAAATCATGAGGTGGAGTCTCAATATACAGACCAAATCGCCTAGTGGGCACTGGTAAGGGGTCAGGAGCCCTCATGCTAAGACTATCCCCTGGGGCCCCATGGGTCCTTGTTGGTTCCTGGAACCCAGTATGAAGACCTGAGCTGCAGGAGATGGGGCATTGGCCAGGCCTGGGAGTCCTTCTCAGTCTTGGACAGGCCACTCAACTTGTCTAAGTCCCATTTCCCCTTTTTTCAGATGGAGATTTAAAGGCCCCTCTGCAAGGTTACTATAGAACCAGGTGGGGTGCATACATGTAAGTGCCAAGCCTAAGGCCTGGACATGGATGTCCCGATGGGCAGTCTGTTAAGCTGTCCATATGTCTGCATGTGGTCTCCAGGAAGGCCACAGCCTGGGTGATTCATGAGGAGTTGCTAAGGCCATGCAGGGTCTCAGTCCATCCAGGAAGTTCTTTTGAGTTGACCTGGCTGGTCAGGGCCCATATAAGAGCCCACATAAGTCATTCTCAATTGATGACTCTCCTTGTTCTTAAAATCTAATTCGTGGAGAGAAATGGGACTGAGTAGGAATCAAGAAACCCCACTTTGGGGTCATGCTGTCCCAGCTCACTGTCTGCCTCTGAGAGCGGGCTGAGCATGCCTGGTGAAATAGGAGTGGGTAAGTACTCATGCACCCTCCCCAAGCCTGAGATGCAGCAGAGAGGGGCGACTGACCTGGTTGCAGCAGGCCACAATGACATGCTCTGGCTCGGGCATGACACTGCTCTTCTGGGCCACCAGTGTATCCTGGATGTGGCCAGGGAGGCGGTAGGAGGAGAAGAGCCCGTAGTATTGCTTCATACAGAGTGGCTGCCCTGACAGCTGGCCCTTGGCACAGTCGGTGGGGATGGAGTGACTGGAGAGGGAGAGCAGGGAGGGAGGCAGGGAATCAGAATTGCTTCTACTAGACTTGATCAGGCAAAGCAGGGCACAAAAACCAGAACTGCGTTAGGATGGTAGTAAGAGAGCTGGATTCCTCACTTTTTAAAGTAGTGGAGTGCCCCATTTCCAAGGTCCATGGACACCCTCAGGGTCTGCTCAAGCCTCTGATTGTTTCCCTCACCCCTGCCTCAGGCAGCCCTGTGCCTTCGCTTCTGCTGATCTTTGCCTGGCATGCCTTCACCCCACCTCTGCACTCAACTAATTTGTTTAGGAAAACTTCCACTCCTTTAAGAGCCTACTCTTCCATTGCCTCTTCCAGAAGCCTTCTCTAAATTCAAGGTAGAAAGTTCTCTTTTTCCTGTGGTCTCAGCGTATCTTGTGTCCTTCTCTACTTCCTCCCTGACCTTTTACTCCTCCTCCTCCTCCTCCTCTTCCTTTCCCTATTCCTCCTCCTTCCTCCATCCCTCTCCCCTCTCCTTCATCTTTGTCTGTCTCCCCTTCCCTCCTTCTTTCTTTCTCTTCCCTTCCTTCCTCCACTTCCTCCCCCTCCTCCTCTCCCTTCTCTCTGCTTTTATCTCTTTCCTCTGTCCTTCCTTCTTCCGTCCCTCTCTCTTCTTCCTCTTCCTCTTCCTTCTTCTCTCCTCCCTCCCTCCATCTCTACTTCTCCTCCCTCCCTTTCAGGCAACAAATGTTATTGAGCATTCCTCTGTGCCAGGCACAGGGGGTAATAGTGGCATCTTTCTGGGATCTGGGATTATAGTGGCAAGCAAAACACGAGTCTCCTGTTCTAATGGGGCACAGGTCCTGGGATATGTAGGTGGAACATAGGCAATAAGCAGCAAGTTGATAGATGGGAAGGTTTTGGATAATGAGACAGGGTGATAAGGACCAGATATGTAAGCTGAGCCTTGAGGGGAAGAGGCAGCCCCAAGATGAGCTGGGGCAGAGTGAGGGTAGGGTGTTCCATGGCCCTGCTGCTCAACGTGCAGGTGCCACACTGAACCATAGGAATCGGTGGGAGCTCTCAGAAACTTCTACAGCAATTTGATGGAGGAATTTTATGTCTATTGAATCTATAGTAAACATAAGATATGTGGTTGTGTATTTTGTACCTCTGTACCATTTTTCTGCAAATTCATTTTGGTAGAGTGTGTGAGTGGGGGTGCATTTTAAAGAGATCAAGGAAGGAGAGTGCTTACCCTAGGAAGAGGAACCACTAATGGTTGGGTCAGCTGGGGTAAAGGTTATCCTGATGCTGCAGGAGCTGGGGCGGGGGCGGGGAGGGGGGTTGGTCCACCTGCTCTATGACATGAGCCAGGAACACAGAGCTGAAAAAGACAAGGTCTCTGCCCTCTGGTTGCTCCTTGACTAGTGTAGCAGGGAGACAGATGACTCAACAGGCTGTGCCAAAACAGGGCTCTGCCCTTCCCAGCCTGGGCCCCATCCTACCTGTCCAGCAGGGTCTTGTAGCTGAGCACGCCAGAGATGAGGTTGGCTGCGAACCTGCAGAGACACATGAAGCCTTAAGTTCTCCTCTCAGGGGCTCAGGCCCCTTCCCTTTCTCCAACATTCCTCTCCCTCCCCTCCACCTCCTTTCTCCCAAACTCAGGACCACCCTCCAGATGCCAGGCCTCAGTGGTACACTAATCTGATGGGATTCCTGCTGCCTGCCCACCCCCCTCCCTCGTACCATGCTGTCAGTCCTTCACAAGCCTTGGATTAAAAATGGTCCTGTGGAGCTAACTGGGAGGAGGAGAGGAAAGCAGAAGGTGAATGAGAAGGAGGAGGAGGAGGAGGAGGAGGAGGAGGAGGAGGAGGAGGAGGAGGGAGAGAAAACGAGCAGAGGCCACAGAGCAGGCAGGAGAAGGCTGGATGGTCAGGGGTGGGTTTCGCCCTAGGAAAGACCAGTGCTGGGGCTGAACTGGAAAAGGAACCTGGGTTTGGGGAAATCCAGTCTCCCAGGAAAAGTCAATTTCATTCGGTGCTAATGAAGATGAAAGTAAGTGCCAGGAGGAAAAGAGTCACCAGAGAACTGTGCCACAGGGCCATGTCATCTTAACTGCCCATGGGTGATGGCCCTGGCTTAAGGAGGAAAAATGTCCCCTTGTAAGCAGTTGGAGAACTGTTTTCAGCAGCTGCTCATCCATTTATCTGCATACTTCCTACTGGCATGGGAAGTCCAGGCTTGCAGGCTGCCTGACCAGCAGTCAGTTGGGCTAGTCTCAGTGAGGAAGGAGGGGATGGGGGTCTAACTAGCATAGCTGAGCCCTGCCCACAGGCCAAGGTAGGCCCTGCCTCTTTTGTTTGGTTGGTTTTTCCTCTCTGAACTGTCCCGATGCTGTGCCACATTGGATTTGGCTCTAAGAGACTCCTGTAGGGAGACCTTTCCTCCCTGCCACATCCCTGTGTAAACTCCCCCCCACCCCCCCATCAACATCAGTGGGCCCAGAGGCCATTCCCGTGGCTCAGTGAGCCCTGAAATTGCAGCAGATGGAAAAGGCTCTGGCGGCGGCAGCTGGCAGGAAGGAACCATTTCCACCCCCTTGGAGCCTCTGTTTAGATAGCCTGGTGCAGTGCATCCCAGTGACAAGCCCAAGACTCAAGTACTGGTAGGGCAGAGATGCATACCTCCTTCCAGGGCCTCAGCCAGGTCAAGAATGCCATGGGGACACCTGGGGGCCCATGACCTCCATTTACTGACCACTCCACCTCAAATAAATATATTCCGAGGAAGACCCTGTGTTTGTCACTCATATTGTAGCCTCATCTAACCAATTTCCCAAACCCATAGCCTGGACTGCCTCTGTCTCAGAGGCATTTGGTCTCAGAAATCTCAGCCAAGGCACAAGCGTTGACCTTTCCTTCCTGCTACTGGAGCCAGGACCCCAGGCAGGCTCTCAAGCTGTGAATTCAGGAGCATGGTGGCCTCCTCACCTTAGCTGGTCATTTGTATCTTGAAAGTGCTGGCGGGCAAAGATCACAGCTGGACTGGAGTTTACAGGCAGGGCCAGGCGGTTATTGAGATACATGTCATTCAGCCAGTACTCAGACACCTGTTGGGGAAAACGGGAGGGGTGCCATTACCCCGCAAGGTCACACACGCCCCTCTGAACAAAGGCACCTTGCCTCGAGAGCACCCAGTCCCATCCTGGCAGGCCCAAGGGACAACCGAGACACTTTCTTGGACCATGGACTTTGTTCGTTCATTCCGCAAATGCACATGGAGCCCTAGTGATGCGCTAGGGCCTGTGTGCTCTCCAGCCCACCGTGACTATCCTTCATTTTTGCCCCATGCCATCCTTCTCTTCCATCCCAGTTTCCCATTCTGGGTGTTTGGTACTTCATCCCTGTTCTCTGCCCATCTTTATGTGTGTCTTGTTCATGCTTTTCACCCTTCTTTGTTTCCCTGAACTTACCTCTATCTTCTGCCACCCCATCACTATCTGCCATCCCTGTCCCCCATCTGTCTCCATCTCTGTACCCTGTCTTTCCCTATTGCCCCATTTCTATCTCCTGCTGCCCCCACCCCTGTTCCCCTTCCTTATCCCCCATCTGTCCTCCATCCTTGTCCTTGTCTGTCCCCCATCCGCAACCCCTGATGTCTTCTACCTGTATATCCTGTCTCTCCCCAGCACTCTATCTCTATCCCCATCTGTCCCTTTTTGGTCCCATCCCTATCTCCCATCCCACATCCTGTCTGTCCCTTGCTGTCCCCCTGTTTCTCCTCTCATCCCTATCCCTTCATCTGTCCATCTTTGTTACCTACCTGCCTCTCATCCAAATCCCTGTCTCCGTGTCTGCTCCCTGCCCCCCACCCTGTGGGTCCCTTGTCTGCCCCCATGCCCTAGTCTGCTCCCTCTCAGCAACTCTTACCCAATTGGCTGTCTTCTCCTGTCGTTCCAGGAGCTTCTGCTGCAGGGTCTCACCAAGGCCACCAGGGGCCCCAAACCTCTGCACAATGGCCTGGCTCCTCTTGAACTGTTCTTCAGGTACTAGGTGCTGCATGCACCGCAGGTAAGTGGCCAGGGTCTGCTGCAGTGGGGGCACTGGAAGTTTGGGCAACTCCTGGAAGAGAGCGTTCACCAGCACTTGCTATGCCTGTTCTTGTGTGGGGTCCATGCCTGTCCGTGAGATGATCCCCACTGTGTGTCTCCATCTGGCCTTATCCTTGTTCTACACTCTGGGTCTTGCCTATTTCCAGGGCTCAGCTCAGCAGAATTATGAACTTAGGAAACTTCTATTTGTTTTTTTCTCGTACCCCAGTCCTGCCCCCACGAGGGGATAAAGTGTAGAGGAAAATACCTTGATGTTGGCACCAGACAGACCTGGGTTCATGCACTGACCCTGCTGCTAACCAGCTGTGTAATCTTAAGCAAACCACCTCACCTTTGTGCCTCAGTTTCCCCTCCTGTAAAATGGGGATAATAACCTCCACCTCTCATAGGATCAAACAGATCCTATGTGAAAAGTGCTTTTAAATCACAAGGAATGGGTCTAAGATGAAACAGATCTGTTACTGATATTGGATACTTATCACTCTTAATTTAGGGATTGTTTCCAGCTGGGGCTTCAGAAGTCAGTTGATCTCTGGACCCAAAGGGTATAATACTAATGGAGAGATTTGGACAGGTGAAAGATGGCGGGAGGCATAGTTCAGAATCCTGCAAGTTGTTTCCTAAGAAGGTGACTCATGTCCTGGCTCCTTACTAAGCCCTTCCCAGTTATGAAAGCCAGGAGCCCCATTCTGCTCCATGTGGGTACAGGGCGGGGGAGGGAGAACAGAGAGTGCTGTGGATGTTCTTCCTATCTTAGCCTTTCTGAGCCCCAGCTTCCTAATCCATAGGACATAAATAACAATTCCTACCTGAGTGGAGCACAGACAGAATTAAATGAGAGAAACCACTGGCCCCAGATAAGCACATCATAAAATGTTATGATGTTACTGTCCCCCTCTAAAAGGGATTCCTAAAAGGAAACCCATAACTTCTGGGGACTCCCAAAGTGTGGAGAGAGTCTGAATAGAACTCTCCACCAATGTCTCCCCTTTCTGGATGCCATGCTTCCTAATTTACCAGCTGTGTTCACCCAGGGATCTCATGCTTGTGTTCAACCATGTTACGGCTGACCTGGGCAGGGATTTTCCTTCCATTTTCAGATGAAACTGAAGCCCAAAGAGTGGAGAAACTAGTCCATGGTCACCCAGCAATATGATAGCAGAGTTGGGACCTGAAATCAGTCTTCATCCAACATCCACTCTGCTTCTTCCTCCTAGATTGTTCTCTCCCTTCCTCCTTGGTCCTTTTTCCATTCCTCCTTTTCCTTCTTCCTCACTAAGCTAGTTACAGTCAGAAACCAGGACTTTTCATATTACCGATAAAGTTTACAAAGTTGGCAGTAGGTAGTCACCTTCTTTCAGGGGTTTTTCCCCTTGGGGTGGGGGTGACAGTGAATTTCCACCCCTGGCAGGCTGTGGAGTAAAGGGGTCCATTCAAAGCTTGCCTCTGCTTTGCTCCTGCCGCTGCATGGGTTGAGGCCCTCCCCAAGTGGCCCTTGGCAGACAAGGACCAACCACGGGAGCCTGTGCTGATGAATGAATGAGAATCTTGCCTGCCTCATCCTGTCTTTAGAGTTCACTACTCTAGGGGGAGGGAGGAGGGTGTCAGTGCCAACTATGTGCTATCCTGCCCCAGGGAACTCTCAAGGACCAGGGTGGTCTGGGTAGCATTCCAGGTTCCTCAGCCCACTTCAAGAGAGCCAGGTCCAGACCCCCATCCAGCTGCTCTGGTTCCCCCTCCCCTGTCTTGGGGTCTGGAGGCCTCTCTGGTGGGTGAGTGGGCAAGTACCTGCAGAAAGCCAAGCCCAGCTGGTGGCCTTTCCAAGAGTGCCAGCAGGCCTGGCTGGGGTCCCAGCTAGAAACAGGTCACCCTTCCTCAGGGCTCTGACAGGGTGCTGGGACTCAGAGTTATGGGGAATCAGCGATGGGTAAAATGGAATGAGGCAGAAAATCTCTGCTCACATGTCGTAGCCCCATGGGGCTCTTCCCCAGACTCTCCTAGGTTTCTGGCCCACACCTGGGGCTAGATAGAGGCAGGGAGGTGTACTAATGAGGGTCTTTGGACACTAGGGTCCCAGGTCAGTACACATTTCCTGGGAAGTTCATGTGAACCAGGCCCTAGACTGGACTTAGGGACAATGGAAAGAAAAGGCCTGCTCCCAGGGAAGCCACATTTCAATGGGAGGGACATGCCATGGCAACACTCAACAACAGAGATGTTTGTGGGCTGCAAAAGTCAGGACAAACAACATGGTGAGCAGCGTCATGGGTAGAAGCCTAAAAGTTCTGATCAGGATTTCAAATGAAGCCCTGGGTAAAGAAGTGGCAAGAAGACTAACTTAGCAGAGGGGCCAGCACTGCAACAACTCACAGACTAGATAAGCTGCTCCATCACTTAAGAAGGTAAGGAAGGAGGATGCCTGCCTAAGGAGGGGTGGCATTGTCCTAAACCAGTGGGGAAGAGATGCCCAAGGCTCCAGGGCTGAACCAGTAACAGTAGCCGGGACTGGGAGGTGACCTGGCTTAAGGTAGAAATTCAGCCTCACCCTAAGGCAACTCCACTAGGCTCAAAGCCATTGGAAGTGGAACTTGGGGAGGAGAAAAAGCCCTGGGAGAAGAGAGAGTACCTGGCCCAGGTCAAGGGCTCTTCCTGGCTTTGGGGTTAGGAAGTGTGGCTCTCAGAATTCCATCAGCATCCCCTGAAACCACTCCCAGCCCTTCGAGGCGTTCCCAGGCTCCTCAGTGGGCTCAGAGCAGGACTGCAGCCTGGACTTCATGCCCTGGAGAGTGCAGGGTTGGGGGCTAGTCTCACACAGGACTGTTCTGGAAGCAAGAGTATGTGAGTAGGGAGAACAGGGATGAAGGAGAGAGCTCCAAAAGTCACTCACAGACTCCTCCTCACTGCTGGGCGGTTTTGCTGCCATCTTATGGGGAGCTTTTTCCAGTATGGGCATCTTGGTGACTCCTGGCTGGGGAAGCAGAAGTGCAGACCTGGGGACCAAGAAGCAGAAGGGCATCAGCACAATAGCCACATAAAGCTACATGGACCCTTCACCCCCACCCTGTGAAGAGGCTAGAGCTGGACATGGGCCCCAAATACACAGGGCCTCATTGTAGACCTGGTCCCAATCTCCCAATCTCTGGACCAGGCCCCCTGACCACAGTGTCCTTTCTGAGTCCCCAGATGGGATAGAGTGGGGTCTAGAGTGAGCTTTTAGGTGGTCCCTACTCCATAAGACTGCCACCCAGGCTCAACCTACCACCTCAGAGCAGAGTGGGAGGGAGCGGGGCTGGACTCGCTCACTCCAAATCCATAAGGATTGGAGCACTTGCTTTGTTCCTGCCTTGGACCCAACAGATACCCGTTTTGCTGATTAAAATCTCTCTTTCCCACTAGACTGTGAGCTTCTCCTGTTGTGTTCAGTGCTTCATCTCTGGGACCTAGCTGCATGACTAGCATGGAGTAGGATCAGTGCTGGGTAGCTGAGTAAAAGGAACGCACGCATGCATCAATGCATGTGTAAATGAACACAGGTCCTCTAAGGCTGTGGGTTCCAGGAGCACTCTGGGCTGACTGGGAGCCTGGCCTCTGGCCAAGGCAAGGGTGGGAGTGGAGGACCCTGGGGCCTGCTGGACAGACTTGGACTTAGGCAATCTTTGGTTCCCAGGCTCCTAGAGCAGGTGGCATGGGAATGCTGAGGGAGATGGGACAGGGCAGCTGCACAGTCCAGGCCCCTAGAGACCACCTGACTCAACCTGGAGAGAAGAGGATTAATTTTTTATTCACAGTACAAGTGACACAGGCCAAGAGGGGGCAAAGGCCTATTTTTAAGGCTACCTTCTACCTTCAGAGAATGCGCTAAGCATAAGCCTCAGAGCCATGCATCCATGATTTCCACTCACCCATTGCCTATTCTCTCCCAAGAGCAGAAAGCTGACGCTTAGCCCATTTTATCCCTGCGCCCTCCCCCACCCCCCAGGCAAGCATGGCCCAGGTGGGAGCCAGGGTCCAGGCACAGTTGACCCAAGGGCAGAGCATCCAGAAAGATGGATGAATCAGGCTCCAGAATGGAGGAACCTAGCCTTCTTGGCAGTGCTAGGCAGAGACTATAGGCAGAGATGTGAACACTTTGTCAGGATGCTACAGACTAGGTGGTCCCTGGACCTTCCCTGGAGGGTAGTAGCTGCTCCCACTCCCAGTAACATAAAAGCAGCAGCATCCAAGTTAGGGTCTATCACAGCACCGCGGAGATTGGAAAGGTTGTTGAGGGCAAGGGCAAGTTGGTAAAGGCCCTAGTGCTCTTGGAGACCCCGTATCTTGGAAAGGTGTAAGATTGGAGCAGGGACAGCTTCCTGGGGACCAAATGGGAGGGCCTGGTCCTTGTTAGGCAGCAGCTGCTTTCCCTCCTTGGGCCATGGGCCCACAACAAGGAGGCGTATGTGTATGTGTGTGTATCTTTCTGTCTCTGGTGCTCTCCACTCTCTGCTGCCACCAGCATGGCTTCCGAGGACTATCAGGAGGGGTCTCTGCTCTGCCCAGGAGGCCCAACCCCAGCTCCGCCCTGGCAACAGAGGCAGTCCGTACTCTCTAGAGACTCCTTGGGACCCAGCTCATACTTGCCACCTGCGGTGGCTCCCCACCTCCGACTTCGCGAGAGTTGGGTGCTCACCCGCGATTCAGAGGGGTCTGGCTGGGTGAGATCCGCCAACGCCTTGACTGGGCACAGAAAGTGCAGACCTTGGCATTTAGCAGATGGGGATCTAGGAGAAGAGAGAAGTGAGGACATGCACGTGGAACCTCGGAGCCTGATGGTCAAGTTCTCTCCAAGCCCTTTCCCCCTAACTTCTCACCGTTCAGCTCCCTGTCCCCCTGCCCCCACTCCTGGTGGGGAAGAGCCAGAGCCGCGGAAGCCCAGTCTCCTGGCAGTTCCCCGACGGCCGCTTCAGTTCAGGGCTCGGAAATCCCGAGGATCTTGGGGTCTCTCGCCCCCGGCGCGGTCCTTACTCCGCGGCCCTCCGGTCTCTGAGCTTTGCTTGCTCCCCGCGCTGCGGTCCTCCAGCCCAGCCCTTCTCACCTGCCCTCCTCGGATCTGCCGCCTCTGCCGCCGCTCCACGGCACCAAGCAAGACTGGGGGCGCGAGTGTGAGCCAGAAGGGATCCAGGGGCGCGTCAGCAGTACGGTGGTGGGGGCCTCTGTCCACCTTAGAGCCTCCGACGTCGCCGGGTCCCTGCGGCCTCCCTACTGGCTGCCGGCGAACCGGCCGCTCTTGTCTTCTCCCTCCTCCTGTTCCTCCTCCCTCCCCTCTCTCCTCTTTCCTCCCTCCCTCAGCCCCACCCCGTCTCTCCCGTTCTTCCTCATTGCCCCCGCCCCCGCGGCTCCCTACGGCGATCCCATCTCCCGGCCCCTAGCCCCGGCTCGGACGGCTTCCCGGATGAGTTTGTGTAAGGGCAGCGGAATCCGGGCCGGGGAAGGGTGTGCAGAACATTGCCTCCCGCCCCCCCCCCCCCCCACCTCGCCTTGCCTTTTGCACCCCGCCCAGCCATCCCCAGTCGCTGCGCTCTCCCAACTCCATTATCCAAGCCCCGGTTGCGTCTGCACCACCCTGGGAAGGGTTGGGTCTGGAGAAATCTGCCCTCCCCGCCGTCTAGGCCAGGCTCAAACCATACCACAACTTCTTTCAAAATCATCATCATCATCATCATCATCATCATCATCATCCTGTTTGTTGATCACTGCAGGTCCTCCTTCCTTTTCTATTCCCACCCCATCCTTGCTGGCACTATGGGGTGAGGGTGTGGAGATACAGACCTGGGGATGCTCATAGACACTCCTCCCAGACAAAGCACTCCTCCCCCCACCCCAGATACAGATCCTTACACACCAACACATACAGACAGACCCACAAAGACAGACCCTGCCCAAACGCACGCAACACAGCCCAACACACAGACGAGGACAGACGTGCACACACCAGCAGTGAAGACTCTCGCAGGCATTGTTTAATACACAGGCGTACCCCAACTCTGCTGCCTCTCCTTGCCAGAATTGGAGGGCTCTTCGGCCTTCATCAGGCCGCAGGCTCCAGGACTGGGAGTGGCCTGCAAACGGGGGCCTGCGGCTCCGGAGACCTGCGCTCAAGGTGGGGAGAATTCTGACAGCCTTGGCCAGCTGCTTCCACCAAGGCCAGGGTAAGGGTGGGGGTAAGGGTGGGGGGTTGGCACCAGCTCCCACACTGGCACCCTCTTCAGTCACGGCTCAGACCCGCACAGCCAGGACACAGCAGACACATCAACAGTTCCCCCACTCCTCGAAGGATAGAGCCTAACTCTCTAACGAGCACACACGACACAAGCGCTTTTCCAGAGAGCGGATCTCTGCCCGGAACAGCTCGGCCCCTACTCCTCACCGGAGCCTGGACCGGGCAGGATGCGGGGCTCTGGCGTTTCAGAGCTCAGTGGCTGACACTGGGAGTGTCCTCAAGGGGCGGGGACTAGCGTACCCGGAGGGAGCGGATCCTCAGGCTCCCTCGGGCGTCGCCCTGGGGCGCTGCATTGGGACTGGGAGGGAGGGGCTGTCTCGAGGGAAGAGAGCCATGTACAACACGGTGTCTGAGGGTGGGATCCCTTGTTGGTTTTGCTTCTTTCATATCTCCTTTACCAGGTAGCAAGAGCCACAGGCTTCCCGAGTGCTTGCCAGACCTGGATCGGGGCTAGACTCAGCTCACCCTCCCCTCTGCCCTCCCCTCTGCCCTGGCCCTGTGCCGGGCCGCCCACCCTCATCAGTAAAGAGACTCGGTCTCGAACAGATATAGTTTATTGATTCTGGCCGGAAGCACCGCGGTGCTGCGGGCTAAGTTGGCACTGAGAGGAACGGAAGGAAAGACAGACAGACAGACGGACCGTTCTACACAGGGGAGCCCCGAGGTGGCGGCTTGCGCACCTCTTTATCTCTGCCAGGAGTGTATCGTTTTGTATGCTTCCGTGCTCCACGTCCCACTGGACTAGAGGGAGGGAAACACAGAAAGGGTCAAAGTGGGGGGATCCCGGCAGGCAAATCAAGATGGGCGAGAGTGTCGGATACTCGTTGGAGGGGTGGGCCTTGAGTCTAAGCTGGCCAGTACTCTCACAGAGTAGCCACCTTGACCCGGGGGGTGGGCGGTGAGGGGATGGCTCGGGAGAGTAGCTGGGCTGCTAGCTGTGGGTGTAGTAATTGTTGTAGACGTCCTCGCACTCGTCAAAGGGGCCCGAAGGGCTTCGAGGGGCGCCGTCTGGGTCGGCCACAGGGCGCTCACGCAGGCGCACAGCATCATACAGACCCTGCGGTGGCTCATCCAGCAGCACGTCGCGCTCAGAGCGGGAGCGCCTCAGGAGGCCCACGTTGCGCAGCAGCAGCAGGACCGGCGCGTAGAGCAGGTTGGCCAGGCCCATGCCAAGGCTAAGTTGCACAAAACCAAGCGAGTGCACTATGTGCCCCGCCACTATGGGCCCGAGAGCATAGGCCACGGAATAGGAGATGTCGGCGATGGCATAGACGCTGCCGTAGACCGAGACGTGGCGCACGTCCACGAGAAAGGCGAGCGTGGGCAGCAGTGCCGTGTCAACTAGCGCGATGCCGAAGCAGAGGCCGCAGAGTGAGATCACCAGTGGTGCGAAGGAGCGGCAGGCAGGCACCACGCAAGAGCTGGCGCCGATCACTGCCAGCCCTAGTGCTCCGTACAGCCACTGCAGGTGTGGATAGCGCGCCGCCAGGCGCACGGTGAGGTAGACACCTAGCACATGCGGCACGAAAGCTGGCAGCCAGGCCATGCCCGTCTGCCATTCAGACGCCGCCATCGTGTGCTCCATCCACGTGGCGATGGTGGGCTCGAGGAAGGCGAGGGGGATGTTGCAGGTGGTGAGCGCCCCGGCCACCACGGCGATGTAAGGGTCCAGCATGAGGCGGTGGATGGGTGTGCCTACCGGCAGGTTGGCTCGCGCCCGCGTCACGGCCGAGAAGGGCTTGGCCACCACCAGCAGCAACAGCGCGTCGAGCAGCGAAACAGCGGCGAGCACCAGAAAGGGCACAGGCTTGCCCGCGAACCCGTAGAGGAAGCCCCCGAAGGGTGGCGCCACCAGACTCCCGAAGCTGATGAAGGCCAGCGCCACGCCCAACGCACGACTGCGCTCCGGCTCTTCAGGATACTTGTCGGCGATCATGGCAATGCCGGACGTATCCGCAAAGGCTGAGCCCAGGCCTTGCAGGCTGCGTGCAGCGAAGAGCATAGCATAGTCCTCCGCGAACGCGAACAGCACGGTGGAGGCGAACAAGACGCCCAGGCCGATAAGCAGCGGCACGTCGTAGCTCATACGGTCAATGAAGGGCCCACTCAGGGGGTTCACCAGCAGCTGCAGGATGGCCTTGGAGGCAAACAGCACCCCGATCTTCACGTCCTCACTCTCCGTCGGGGACTCTGAGGTGTTGCCCATGTTGTCACTGCCACTGGCTGGAGTGGGCGCCTGCAGGGTGTGCACTTTGGGGCTCGTGGTGGGCCTGCCGGCCTTATGCATGTGGGCAATGTAGTCGGGCACGATGGGCACGATGACCATGTACAGCATGTTGTCCAGGAAGAGAGCCACGCACACGATGACCAGCACCAGGCGCCGCTGCCGCCGAGGATCCTGCAGCACTGCGCCCATCGCCTCCGACAGCTTGCTGGCTGCCGCCCGGGCCTGGCCCGCGGGCGCCGCGGGTTCCATTGCCTCTACTCCTCCGCTCTTCCGAGGACGCCTCCGCTGGGGCCGCCTGGGCGCGGGCGCCCTGCAGTGCAGAGCCGAGGGCACGGAACTTCGCGGGCGCGGTCCGCGCGGCGCAGCGCCCCCTGTGTCTCAGGTGGCTGCAGGGCTCATGACCCGTTGTCCCGGGAAAGGCAAAGACCCTGTCCGGCGAGACGCCTCCGGCCGTTCTCAGCCAAGCCCGGACCCGCCGCTGCTGGGCTCGGGGGCTGTCAGGGAAGGTGGGCGCGCCGAGTGGCTGGGGCCAGAGACTGAGCGCGCGGCGCCTTGGGCTCGTCAGGCGCGGTCCCCGAAGCGTTGAAAGGCCGCCCGCGCGGGCCGAAGGGCATGCTGCTGCCGCCCGCCCGCTGGCTCACTCGCCCCGCCGCCGCTCTCCCCTCCCTTCGCGTCGGCTCTTGCCTCCTCCTCCTCCGCCTCCTCTTTTTTTCCTTTCCACTCGGGGCTGTGACGCGGCGAGTCTCGGCCCCCGAGTGGTGCCCGGGCCACTTGCGTCGCTCATGCTAATGCGACGTCGGCGGGGCGGGGGCCGGGGGCGGGGCACGGCCGGGCAGGGGTCCCCTTCCCAGAGGCGCCAGGACTGGAAACCCTAGAAAGGGGTCTTGGTGTGAAGAGAGTACTGGTCAAGCCCTGGAGGATGGATGCGCCGCGCGAGGAGCGGGCTGTCTGTTCCTCCGCCCCCTCTCAGTTCTAGGACCCGAGGGGTTTGCACCCCTTCTTTTCCCCCCTCCCCAGAGGGTCGCTCAGCGGCCGTCCCCCAACCCTCCAGCCCTGCTGGAGAGAAAGGCGCCGGGGACTCCAGATCTCCGCCTCAGCCTGGATCTCCGCGCACAGCCGGCAAAGAGCCCCCGAGGTGAGCCGCCGCTGCGTCCATCTGTTCTCGCAGCTGGAATGTGGGGCTGCTATCGGTGGGGGGCCCGGTATAGATCCCCCCAACCCTTTCTCCGGCCCCACCCCCTTGGCCCCTTCCACCTTCGGGAAGGGAGGGGGAGACGCAGAGACTGCTGGGCCGGGTTCCGACAGACCGGCCCTTCGGGAGGATGTCATAGCAGAGAATTCCTGACTATTAGCTTCTGGGGATCGAGGGGAGAAGTCACCCTCCTCCCACCCGGGGCCCCGAATATCAGCCTTGCCCCTCCCATCCTCCCGTACAGCTTCGCCACCCTCTCCCAGCCCGTACTCCCCCTTTCAGCTTTAACTGTCCGGGTTTCCCAGCTCCGCCTCTTCTCCTTTCCCTCCTCCTGACCCCTCCCCATTCTAACTCCTCCCAGACCCTCTTAGCACTCGAACAAGTCCTCTCTCAGTTTCACTGAGGTCCCGCCCCCCGTCTCCAGAGCTGCCTCCAAGTCCCAGGTGGGCTCTGGGAGTTACGTGGCCGGGGTCCTCTCTTGGCAGCTGTAAGAAAGCCCGTGGGAGTGGGTGCGGCGCCCACTCCCATGGCAGGACCCAGCAGCTTTGCTCTCATCAGAGGATGGAGGGAGGCTCACCTGCCGGGAGGGCTGCAACGCCCAGACACCT